ACCTCACTGGGGCGTGTGATGTACAGCAAGGGCGACTTGGGGTTGATGCTGCAGTCCTTCAGCGCCAGGTTGGAGTGGAGGAAGAGGGGGAAGCCCTTCAGCTGGGCGCTCAGCAGGCTGTTCTCATTGGCCTGCATGGGGAGAGACGGGAGCTGGAGGAGACAGGACACGGGGGATGGAGGCGTTGAAAGACACGCCAAGGGGCACCAACAGCCATGGTGAGGGAGTAGGTGGCTCACAACCCCCGGAGATCTGGGTGCCATGTCCCCCCTCTTCCTCTCCCGAGCATGGGACATCCTCACCCCACTCACACACTCAGTCCTGCTCATGTTCAAGGTGCAAAGCGCCCTGGGGCCGCGAGCCCTGGGCAGAAGATGGGCAAGGGGTTACCGAGCAAAATACCTGCTCGTGCTTTTGGCAAACCCCGGTGAGGGTCACTGCTGGGAAACGAGATGCTAAAAGCAACCGGATCGATCCCAGAGGTGTGTTTTTACCCCCAAAACACTCAGGGGCCACACAGCCCTTCCACAAGGAGAGGGCTAAGATGGTGCCCTCTGCTAGAAACCTGTGCCCCATGCCACGCTGTAGGCCGGCTCCACACCAACCGGGGCTGCTTGCAGAAAGCAAGGGGAGGGCAAAGTCCCTGCAGGGCAGCAGGACACCACAGCCCCCTGCTCACACCCGGCCTGGCCGTGGGGTCTCGGCTTGCCCCACGCACCCCCTTACCTTGAAGAAGCCGACAATGCCCACGCCATACTCCACACAGTACTTGTCCAGCAGCTCCCGGTTCCAGGCGTCCAGGTTGACGTACTTGAGGATGTTCTCGTAGATGATGAGGGCAAAGCGTCCTCGGTCCTTGTCAGTCAGTGTGGGCATGTCCCCCTTGCCCGGGGCGATCTCCGTCCTGTATTTGAAGCGGCTCGACTCCAGGATGGCCACGATCTCCTGGCCCAGCTGGGAGTAGAGGCTCTCCACGAAGACCAACACCAAGGGGTCTGTGCGGGAGGAGTCGGCCACTTTGAGGGTCTTCAGTGGCAGCAAGCGGGAAGGGGCGACCTTGGGCTCATCACAGTCCGGCCCCACCACGTCCCCAGAGGGCTCCAAGCCCCTTTTCCACCCATATAAATAATACGCAGAGACGAAAACACTGAGTAGGCAGAAGACGAAGAGCAGGAGCAACACCACCTGTGGAGAGAGCTGCCGGATACCCCGCCGGGCCCTGGCCAGCACAGTCATCCTTGCATCCGCGGGGCGAGATGGGGCCCCTCTCCCCTGCCCGCCCCCTCCCCTCGCGAGCCCTGGGGAGGGGAAGAAGCAACTAACGAACCGAAAAAATAGGTAAAATAAAATGGAATACTAATAATAAATTAAAATACTAGCAGGCCGCCTGTGCA